GTTCACAGCAACAATCTGGAGGTCTGAGAAGAAATCCTGAAATGGGAATTAGGGCACAGCCAAAAAGCAGCACTGCTTTCATTTGAAAATGTTTCTTTTTAGCTTGGTGGGTTGGTTTTTGGTGGGTTTTTTTTTGGTGTTTATTTTTTATTTCTTTGGTTTGTTTGGTATTTTTCTTCTCTGTTTTTTTTTTCCCCCCCTTTATTTTATTTTGCTTTGTTTTATTTTGTTTTCCAGCCTGATTCTGGCATTTCCAGAAGTGTGGAAATCCAAAATTCCTGCCAGATTTGATGATATTTCCCGGATCTACCCGCACTGCTTTTCTAAACTCCTTCTCGAGGCCAGTGGGTGCCGAGGGCAGGCCCATCCCCGCTGTGTCCTGAGTATGTGGAGCCTTGTGGATGAGCAGCTGCAGGAAAATCCTGCCTGAATCCGGCTGCTGGTCTGGCAGAGCAGCAACCCACTGCTGGCCTGGATCTGTGGGGAGCATCCCTGCACAAGCTCCCAAAAGGGGGGAGCTGACCTGCCCTCCAGGCGGGCTGCTCCTCCCTCTGAGCCCTCCCCATTGGCCTCATGTCTTGGGGAATAAATGGCTAATTTTCATCCCTTAAAGATAAATACTGTCCCAGGGATCAGGAGGCTGAAAGCAAAGCTTCCCATCCCGTCCTCTCGCCATGTTCCAAGGCCAGTAAGACTTGACTTTGTGTCTCAGCTTTGCCTCCTGATTTGGAAAGGTCACAGCTGCCTGTTCAGCTGGCCCCTGCATTAAGTGGTGGGACACAAACATCTGACCCACCCTGGCCCCACCAAGTTCTGCCCCAGATTACAAGAAATGAATGCCACTGGCTCTCGTTCCCCTCCTCTCAGGAAGCCTTTTGCTGCCTCTCTTCCCACTGTGGATAACCATCCCTGTGTCATTCCCCCATGAAGAGGGGCTGGGGCTGTGGGGCTGTGCAGAGTTGTGGAGCTGAGCCTGCTGGTCTTTGGGTAGTGGGGAGCAGCCAAGCTGTGCTGGTAAGAGTTTAATTATCGATGCAAAAGGCATTGTTGCATTGGGGGGGGGAGCCTTGCTGTGAATCTTGGGAGGCCTTTGAAGTTGTGATGGAGAGGAACTGAAGCCCAAGGGAACAGGGCTGCTCCCAGTGACCCTTCCTCCCCACGCCTGCGCTACAAAGCCCCTGCCTAAGAGGGAGATGGTGGAGTAATTAGAGGGAGGACCACAGTGGGTTAACAATTAGTGAGGGTGCTCAGAGCCCTCTTTGGTCCCCCACTGTTTTTCCAGAGGCTGGGACTCAGCACATCCACCAGTGTGTCACCCCCAGGCTTGTTCCACCACCCCACCATGAACCCGGGGTGGGCTGAGGATGCACAAGCTCCCCTAGGTACCACAAGCCCATTCCTGAGCCCAGGATGCTTGGATGTGAGATTCCAGTGTGCTCCCACATCTGTTTGTAGGGATGCAGTACATCCCTGCAGGACCTGTGGCCAGCAGTGAAAGTGTTGGGAAGGGTATGTAAGCACTCACTCTTTATAGATGATATAGATATATATGATACAGATATAAACATAGATATTGATATAAATATAGAGATAAGATAGAGATATACAGATGATATAGATATAGATATAGATATAGATATAGATATAGATATAGATATAGATATAGATATGGATATAAATATATAGATAATATAGAGATATACAGATGATATTGATATAGATATAGATGATATAGATATATATGATACAGATATAAACATAGATATTGATATAAATATAGAGATAAGATAGAGATATACAGATGATGACATAGATATAGATATAGATATAGATATAGATAGAAATAGATATAGATACAGATATATGGCAAGAGATATACGGTCCCAAGTAAAACTCACATCCTCTGGATGCTAGTCCCACTCTCAGGTCTCTCACTTATCCCAAGCAGGATATAGGATTTGGTAGATATGGGTATGGAAATGGATACAGATATAGATCCAGCTGTAGAGATATAGGTATAAATACAATATATACATAGATCATATACTGATTTGCACACTTTGACTCCTGCCTGGTCTGTATCTATGAGGCTGCAATGTCCACTGCTCACGCACCATTGCACGATGCAACTTTATGCAGCATGAGGGTCTGCCCTACGTGAGGCTCTGTCTGCAGACCCCAGTTGTGCTGGGAACTGACCTGCTCTCTCCTAGGTGCTTACATTTGAATGGGCAATCAGGCTTGACAGCTTTTCCACCAGGGCGAGAATTTCCCCTGACACCTCCTGGTGTTTTGGCTCAATACTCGAGGCAAGGCCAAGGCACAGAATGGGGAAATGACAAAATGGTGCTGAGGAAAACAAAATGGAGCTCACGGTTTGAGACTGATACGTGCAGACAGTCCATAGCATCAAAGAGAATTGCCCAGCTGTAGGAGAGAGGTCTCCCAAACCAGCACATTTTCTGAAAAAATGTTTGAGCTGAAAGGGGTCCTTTGTGGTGGTCTTGCTCACTCTGCGGCTTCGCAGGGGGCTCAGAGCATCGGCCCCGCGGGGCAGCGCGGCCGGGAGCTCGCTGCACGGGGCACAGCAGGCACTGGGGGTGGCAGCTGCCCTTGGAGCTGGGCTGTAACCTGCGCTGTAACCAGACGGGTTTTGGGGGGAGTGTTGGTGTCCCCATATAGGAGTGTGTCACAGTGCTGCTGGATGGACACTGGGATCCACAGGGGGTGGGCTATCCACGAGTTAACAGGAGCTCTAGGACACACAGTGCCTTTGTGTTTGTGCTGTGCTTGCTGTGTGGGCTTAAAATGCAGGGCTCTGTGCACTTGGCTGAAGTGAGGGAGTAAAAGAAACTTATCCCTCTCCCTGCAAAGAGGAATCTGACGATGGGTGGGATGCAAGCTGGCATAGGTTGTCTGGGAACCAAAGCAACCGAAAGGAGGACTCCTTCAGGTCATGACAACATCTCTGTGAGACTGGGTGATGACCACATGGTCAGGGTGGTGGGATGAGGTGTAGCAAGCTGGCTCCAGGTCCCACAGGCTGTTGGCAGACAAGTCTGGGGTACACCCACTGTATGCTCTCAGCATCATTCCTCACAATGCGATGATCCCGCTGGACCCCAGTTCATGCAGGCTCCTCCTGCTGCTTGCAGAGCAGGGGGAGGCAGCCACATCCATTGCTGAGCATCCCAGCGTGGGAAAGAGGGTGCAGAGACCACGGTGGGGGGGAGAGAGGGTCTGCAAAAGCTGTCCCCTCTGTGCAACCTGCCTGCTGAGGGTCACCAGGACTGTGGTCCTGCACTGTGAACAGGGAAACTCCCAAGCCTGGGCTCCTGCTGGGTGAATTACCCAGGGAAAATAGGCAGAAAATCTTCAGATTAACAATAACAAATAAAAATGGATTTGAGATCTCTGAGGTAATTACTCTGTGCTGAGGGCAAGGGGCCTCTTTAGCAGTGGGAGCAGTGCTGCGCAGGGAGTGGAGGGGCTTGGCCTGCTGTTGGGCCAATGGAACCACACAAGAAACCCTGGAAATTCTTTCAAATTGTTCTGCTAACATTAATAAATGCCTCAAAAGCTCCTAATCTGCTCTGTCAGGAGCATGACGTCCGGGTGTTTCACAGCCAGCTCACGTCTCTGCTCCTCTCTCCTCCCCTCTCCTTCCCTGCCTGGTAATAGTAAATGAAAGTGGCACCCGTTCCTCAGGCTACAGAGAGCAGCCTCACGCTGAGCCCAGGCTCTGCAGGGACTGGAGCCACTGTCCTGATATGCCCTGTCCCTGCTGTGACAAGCTGGTCCTGGCAGCAAGAGCACCATCCCTCGTGAGCCCGGGGCCAGCCCAGCCCTGGTGCTGCAGAGGGATGCTGTGACCAGGTGCCTCCAGGTCCACTTTGGTGCTCCTCAAGGGTGAGGAAAGGCAGCCAGCAAGGGTGAAGCTTCCTGTGGCATTGACCTCACAGGGTGGCTTCAGGATAAAGGGAATGGGGAAAGCTGAGGCACTGGGGGTCCCTGTGGGAGCCTGGTGCTCTTGGGGGGTGTTGAGGCATCAGGGTCCTGGTGCCCACTGCACCAAGGGTCAAGGCACCTTGCTGGCAGCCTCCCCCAAGCCTCCATCCCTCTGGGTCTGCACCATGGAGCTGGGGCTCCTTCCCCAGGTGCTGAGCAACTCGAGCTTATCAGGCAAGGCAAGGTTCTCCTCTGCTTGATGCTGTGGGGTCTGAGCGTGGGGCTCAGATGGCTCAGAGGCAGCAGTTCCATGGCATCCTGCTTTCCTCCACTGCTGCCACTGCACAGGTTTCCACAGGAAGCTTCTGAGCACACTGGAAGGCATCCTCACCTCTCCTACCACGCAATCTGCTCCCCTCTTCCTGCAGTTTGCCTCTATCTCCTCTTTAAGTCGGGCTCCTGGTGGTGGCAGGGATTTGGAGGGGCTGGCTTTGATGGACTTCTCCAGTGGGGTGTCAGCCAGGACCATGGGGAGTCTCTTTGTGCTGGAGCTGGGCACTGCAGTGTGCAATTACAGCAGCTGCTGGAGTGCAGACTTCAAACCAGGGATGCTGAGAGGGAGCTGAGCCTAAAGGGCTTCCAGAGGAAAAGTGTCCAGCTGAGAAATGATGCTCCAGTTGCATCAATCTTGGCCCACAGTGGGACTGGTGGACAAACTGATGCTGGGAGTTTGTTTCCACAACCCTTCCTTGCTTTGCATTCCCTCCAACCTGCTCTTTGCAGCTTCCTCCCCCCAAAGGTCACACTGCTCTCAGTGCTGGGGCCAGGACTCAGCTCTATCCTGAACCACCAGCTCTGGGGAGCATCCCTTATTGCCATCCCCAAACTCCATACTTGCCTCATATCCAGCCAGGCAGTCCCTGAAGAAAGATTGATGGATGGGGGGCATTTTCCAGGAAATGGCAAGTGAAGAGGGCTTCTTCATGGTGGCTCAATTCCTTGGGGATGGGGACAAAGCTTTCTAACACAGCTTTCACTCCTGTGTTTTCCAGTGAACTTGCTAGACACGTCAACAATCCTGGGAGACTGGGGCTGGATGACTTATCCCTCACACGGGGTAAGTATGGAGGGACTGTTGGCAGGGGGAGCCCAGTGGGATGGGTCACCATGGGACACTGTGGCAGGGAATGGACATCTCAGCCCCAAGTCAGTGCTGATGAGGCAAACAGACCATGTCTGTTGGGAAAATGCCAGCCTGATAGACTGGCAGAGGGATACAGCTGTTTTGGAAATGCCATTTAACCCTCCGTGTCCCCTGGTAAGGACCAGGCCGTCACCAGGTCCTGAACTCTGAAGGGACTCAAGAGCTGGGACATGCTAAGAAGTGTCTCATTCCTCACTGCACTGGTGAGCACCAGGGGGAACAGCCCCAAATGACCAGGAAGCTCCCAACCAGCTGGAATCCAGGGAATTTCTGTGAGCACTGGGCAGGAGGGGCAGGGGAGCCTCCCCTGTGGATGGCATCCTACAGCAATGGGGGTGCAGAGGAGGGATGGTGACTGGTGACCCCCACAGGAGCCTGCCATCTCCACCAGCTGGATCCTTCCCACACTCTCCCTTCACTTGCAGTTCCATGCCCAGGTTTTCCTGACACAGTACCTTTCTGGAAATAGTAAGTTTCAGATGTCAGGGTGACCTGGCTGGAAGGATTTTTCTCATTCATTTAGTGAACAGAAACAATCCCATAAATACCCACAGGACCAACTGCAAGGCACAGTGGGGCTTTCTGCAGGCACAAAACGTGCAAAATTGGGGTGCCTACCTGGCTGTTGCTGCTGTGTTGATTTTTCATGTCCATTCTTTTTATCCTCTCTCTGAACTAAATGGTCCTAATCTTTTCAATTCCACCTCCCACAGAAATCTTCCCAGGTCTCTAATAATTTTCATTGATCTGTTTCTTGAGACTTTCAGTCCCTGCACTGCTTGAGCAGGAGTGATCAGAACAGTGAATTCATAATAATACCAATGATCAGATTTCTATCAGGCTTTATCATATATGTAAATATATTAAATTGTTAACTCAAGTCTAATTTTAGCAGTTAGTTGTTGCAATGATGAGTATCCTGGGAATGTAAGAGATTGAGAGGTACAAGGTCAGAGGGGACTGTGGAACTAATGTGATGTGATCTCCTGCATAAATACGGGCCTTCAGACCTGTCAATTCATTCAGCTCTGAGAGCAGCACAGCTTTGAGGAAAAAGCATTCTTGGCTGCAAAATTGCTGCTGCTGGTAAATGCTGCAGGTCCTGTGGTGATGCTGTTAACGTGCCTCTGTTAAAAGCGATTTCTGCGAGAGTTTGCCTGCCCCTGGTCTGCAGCCAGGGACCTTCCTCTGCCTCTGCCTGCGTGAGGCAGATGCTGTCCTGCTCATGGCTGCCCTTGGCTGTCACTGCTGTCCTGTCACTAATCAGCTGTCATCTCATCCCAGCCCTGCTGCCAGACTGTGGCATCCTGCAGGAGCCTGACACACATTCAGGGCTTCCTCTGCTCTCCTGCAAGGGAGAATGTTTTTGGGATTTTCTGGGAGACAGGGCTGTTTTCCATTGTCCACATCTGTCCTTAACCCCTGCCCATGGTCAGGCCACCTGCTGCCTGCAGACTGCCCAGGATTGTCCTTCTGGGTGACCCTGTCAGGAGTGCAGGTGGAATCCATTGCATCACTGAGGTGCCTTGGGGAGGGTGAATCCCCTGGGCTGGCTGTGCTGGGCAGGGCCTTGCACTCCCAAAGCAGACAAAAGGATTGAGCCTACAGGAGCCCCATTCTCAGCACACCAGGGACTTCCTTGGCCAGCTAAGTATCCTGTGCTGGACACTGAGAAATCCAGGGATGAATCCAGAGCCCCACCCCATCTGGACTGTCAGCTGTGACTGCACGGTGACCACAGGGGCTGGGGCTGAGTCTCAGGGCTCTCTGCAGCAGATGCCCAGCAGTCCTTCACCAGCAGCTCTTGAACACCAGTACATCTGAGTTCTCCACCTTATTGGTGATGTTTATTAAAAATAAATCATAATATAATGAATAATCTATATAATAAATTAAATGATATGTAATGAATTAAACAGTAAGTAAATTTTAAAAATAGTAAATAAATATAACAAAGAATAAAACAAAATTATAATACTGGATGCCAAAAAAGTAAAAGAAAACCAAAAAGGCTCACAACATTAAATGCTGTGTACCACCCAACACCAGAGCCACCTCTTGACCATGCTGCTGAGTCCTACAGGACCTTAGTCAGGCGTGGGGTAACTCCACTGTGCACTTACCCTGTGCTTTTGCCCAAATTTTGGCCCTGTTACCGACAGGATGACCACATACCTGTGTGGAAACTGTCTTGAACACCCTCAACTTTTCATATATTTTTCCAGCTGGATATTTTAATGGCTCCTCTAAACACTGGTCTGGACCATGGTTTTTCCTCCATGGGCCATTGTATCACTAATCTGGAAACCACATCTTACTCCTTTCCCTCCCTGCTGGTCCTTCACCTCCAGGCCCTTTCCGAGTAGGAAATTTGCTCTGGGATCTGTTTGCTGTCACCAGGAGCTGCATTGGGGTGCTGGTGTCTCAGGGGAGCTGGGGTGGAATCCTTGCTGGCAGTGCCAATGCTTTGGCTCTCAGCAGATGCCTCCCAAGCAGCCCCCAGAGTGCAGCTCAGGCTTAGGTTGGAGAGATCTGCTGTGATCCCTGCACTGAGGAAGGAACTCCCTTTGCTGGTCACCATCTGTGCCCAGTGCTTTGGATGTCCCTAGGGCTGTCCCTGCCCCGTGCTGTAGCTATGGGCTGGGCTTGTATAGAAGCATTGTACTGTGAAGCCAGATTTTCACAGAATTTCTAGGTTGGAAGAGACCTTTAAGATCATCATTTTCATGGAGATTGTTTATTTTTACTGCCATTTCCTTAATTTAGATACTCTAGCTGAAAGATTGGTGGCAGTGGCCCCCCATTCCTGCTACCTCCCAGCTGTCCTGCCTGGGCCTCAGTGCAGGATTTCCCCACAGTGTGTCAGCTCCGTCCGTGGGCAGACACAGCATCCTCTACCAAGGGTCCAGCACTGCTGGCTGAAGTCCTGTTCCTTTTGCTTTACCCACATCTCCATTCCCCCCAGGGCCACCACATGGGTGTGACAGACAGTAGCAGGTGGGTAGCTCTGCCTGGGTCTTTTCATGGCACTAAGCAGCACAGAGCCTTGGTCCCCAGCCTGAGGAGCTTCTGAAGAGGACTTGTGTCTGCTATTTCACTGCCTAGTGCCCTATGGCTCGCCCTGTGGCACCTGCAGGTCCTGTCACACCTGGGGAGCCAGAGGAAAGGCAGCAGCTTCAGAGGCTTCATCCTCTGGCTGGGAGATCCCAGAGCTACCTGCACCGCCAAGGCAAAACCGGACGGGTGCCATTCATCACACCTGTGGGCAAGGTGAACTTCTTCCCTCACTGGAAGGTTCCTTGCCTCACTGGAAGGTTCCTTGCCTGTCTGGCTTTGCCAGGGCCAGCAGGAGCTGGGAGCAGTGGGCACACAGTGAGGGTCAGCAGTGCCGTGGGCCCTGGGGAATGTCAGGCCATCAGGGAGCCATGCCTGGCCTGTTTTGACATTTTCTCTTGACAGACAATTAACTGAGGGGTAATTGGCTGTAATTGCTGCTCAGGGGTTTAATTGCATCCCCCCCCTCACCTCCACCCCAGAGACACGTGCAGGAAGCAGAGGGGTCACCGGGAGCATCCCTGTCCCGCAGGCTGCGGCTCCTCTCAATTATAACTTCAAAGGGCTCCCAGGAGCTTTGCAGCTCGCTCCTTTCCCAGAACAATTCTCTTTGCATTGAAAATTAAACTCTTTTCAGTGTGGTCAACCCCCTCCCTTGCCATGCCTCCTGTATCCCAGTTCTCCCCAGCCAAACGCCCCAGTGCCCCAGTGCCCTTCTCTCCCTTCTCCTGGCTGGGCACGTGGCCTGCTGGATCAGAGGGAGCTGATCGGCCCCGCTGCAAATTGCCTTTCTACTGACTAATTAAAACACTGATGAGATAAGTCAACATATTATTAATAATTATTGTATCGTCTACTTTGATTTACAAAGTCAAACAGGAAATTATTTTGTTCAGACACAGGGCATCTAAGGAGCTTGAATGATGCCTTGCAAAAGCTAATTAGAATGGAAGCACCTTGAGTGCTGGAGGAAGGCCCCCCATGCTGCCCATGACCTCCCCATCCACTCCCACCAGCACCTTCTGTGGTGGCCCCACAGTTTCCCTCTTGCAGCAGGGGCTGGGGCCAGCCCAGAGAGCTGCTGGGCATTGCCACCCAGGCAGCTGCCCCAGCATCTGTCACAGAGTCATGGACTGTCCTGAGCTGGGAGGAGCCACAAGGGTCATCCAGTCCAGCTCCTGGCCCTGTACAATCCCCAGCAATCCCACCTGGCATGCTCCATGTTGGCTTTGTTGATGGGAATCAGGAAAGAACTTCAGAGGGCTGTGGATCTCCCCATCCCTGCTCCTTTGCTCCTCAGAAAGAGATCCAGCCTGAAGCCCCTGGGGACAGTTAGCCAAGGGTGCTCCTCCTTCATCCTACAGTACCCAGAGAGAACACTGTCAGAAAGGCACCAGATCTGCTGAAACCCCCAGCTGAAAGCACAGACATGGCCACAGGATGGTCTCCCAGCAGTATTTGTGCATTAAGAATGGGGATTTCAGCCCTGGGACTGAACTATTTGTACAGCCATGCCTACACACCAGGAGACATTTTGTGCCTGGGTCTGATCCTGCAGCCAGCAGCCAGTTCATGGCTGGGATGAGCCTCATGTGTCATGAAGCAGGGTCTCCCTTTGCCCCAAGCTCACCCTGTAAAATCCCATCCCCAGTGTGAGCTGTGCTGTGTCCTTGCTATTCCACCCCCCTTCAGGTTCATCTCTTCTTCTCAGACCACCAAGATATATTGGGGCTCTCCCATGTGCCTAGGTCATGTCTCTGCTCTCCTTCACTTTGATGTCCCTATTGTATTTCTTGGGTTTCTCTTCCAAGCTGGAGCCTCTACCTGGGTCCAAAGTACCAGCAAGTTACAGCTCAAGCTGTAGTGAAATTAATTTTCTTTGGGGGAAAAAAAAAAAGTGTAGGAAAGGAACATTGGAAAATAAAGATTTAGACTGGTAATTGAGATAAAAGCTCATCTCCCAGTGCTTGTTCAGTAAATCCTGGGTTATTGCTAATTCCCCAGATGCTGGTCACTACCAGTAGTTAATCACCTGCAGTGAAGCTCAGGGTAGTTAACTGCCTGACAAATCCCTCCTTAGGCACAGCAGTGACTGATTTCATGGGGATTATCTCCATTAAGGCCTCCCATCTAATGATTTATAGCTTCAATAACAGCCTTCTCTTTTTTTCCTCTCCCAGTGACAATGGTGTGAGAAGGTGCCATGGCGTGCTGGGAAGGAAAGTGCTGGATGTCTCAGTGGCCACAAAAGCTTTGCTATGCCAGGCAGACCTGGCATCCCTCCTGGAAGCTGTCCCAGGGCTGGGGACACTCATTCCTTTGCACTCTGAGGATGGTGGGAGGCTGAGCTGCTGCCAGGGGGACACAGCTTCTCCTCTGCTCCTCCTCCTTCTCCTCTGCTGTGCCACACAGGCCCTGGGACACTTATAAGACCTTACTCAGCTGCCCAGATATCTGGTGTTTGCATCTCTTGCCTTTCATAATCTGGCAAATATTTTATAACTGGTGTTGACTTTAATTTAAACGATTAGGCAAACTCCTGAATGCAGATGCAATCGCATCCTCCCCAGCGCGCGCGCTCACCCCGTTAATTATGATGTCCTCATTTCCATCTCGCTGGGGGATCTTATCACACTGGTGGGGCCCAGCTGATCTTTGGTTCAAAAAACCATCTCAGCCCATGAACGGAGAGCCAGCAGTGCCTGGGGTGTGCATGCTGCCTGCATTCCTGAACCAGTGGTGCCCAGTGTCACGCAGGTCCCCTCCTGCCCACAGAGCCTGGAACTAAGGTGAGACAGGAAAACCCCTCCAGTCATGGGCATTCCTGAAGCAGGTCCTTTTATCTCCCTTTCGGTACCTAAAAGGGCCTACAGGAGGGTTGGAGAGGGACTTTTTGCAAGGTTAAGCAGTGATAGAATAAGGGATAATGGCTTTAAGCTGAGGGAGGGTATATTTAGAATGGGAAATTGGGAAAAAATTCTTCCCTGTGAGGGTGGGCAGGCCCTGGCACAGGGTGCCCAGAGCAGCTGTGGCTGCCCCATCTCTGGAAGTGTCCAAGGCCAGGCTGGGCAGGGCTTGGAGCAGCCTGGGATAGTGGAAGGTGTCCCTGCCATGGCAGGGGGTTGGAACAAGATGGTCACTTCCAATCCAAATAATTTCTTGGATTCTGTGATCCCAAAGGCCCTGTAACTCCTGGGACCTGGTAGGGCCTATGGGACCTTGGTTGAGCTGTGACATGCTGGGAGATGAATCTGTGGCATGTGAGCCACGAGCTCAGGTAGCCTGCCTGCCCCATTCTTAGTGCACTTTCCCTGCAGGCCAGGTGTGGCATTTTGGGCTGGTCTCAGACTGGGATCCCAAGGGACTGTGGGACAGAACTGACAGTGCAGCTGCTGTGCAAAACAGCACTAAGTTTGAAAGGGTGATGGTGCATGTGCAAACTCTCCAAATTCACCCCAGAGGCTGGAGGTGTGGCTGACACTGGCTATTGCTGGTACTTGGAGGTGGGCATTTTTTATCTCCTGCTCTGTCAACAGGGAGGATGCTGCCCGCTCTGGGACTGCCACATGGGGACTGCCATGTGGGGACGTGTCAGTAGGGAGCTCCATCTCCTCTGCCAGATTTAGGAGAGAATGTCTGGAGACCAAAACCAACCAGATGAGCTGGATCCAAAGCATTTTGGTGCTCACAATAACCTCATTTTTCCCTTGCCAGACCCTCGCAGAGAGCCCTGCCCGCCCGGGCAGTGCCGAGGGGAGACGGCTGTGCATTGTGGGGACATCCCTGTGCATTGTGGGGACACCCCTGCTCACCCCCACAGCTCTGCCCTCACACTGTGTGGCTCCTCCCGTGCACAGCTCTGCTTCCCTTCCCCCGGGAAACTCAGCAGGGAAAAGACAGGAAACAGATGTTGTGTTAATTTGTGCTCAATTAATTTCGACAGCGGCTTCCACCCCCTCGGAAGCGCCGCAGCAGCACCCTGAGCGCCAGTGGGAGTGGGACTGGAGCTGCTCTGCTCTGCAGCACTGCCAGGGCTGGCACACACTGCCAGGGCTGGCACACACTGCCAGGGCCCCTGTGCAGCAGGGCAGGGTCCTGGGTGGCACAGCACCTTTGACAGGCTCGTCCCTGGGCTGCTGCCCTCATCCCTCTGGCCAAGCTGACCTGTAGCCTGGCCCTTTTCCACGTTGTCCACCTGAGTACTGGAGTGCAGGGCATGTTCCCAGTGACCCCAGGACAAACCTGGACATTTCTGGGAATTCAGAAGGCAATTTTTTTAAATGCATCACAAAACATTTTTCTTCCCTGGGAATGGTTTGATTTTGAACCCCTTTGCCAGCATATTCCCCTTAAAATGAGCTTCCATTGTAGTTTGCACCTGGAGCTGCTGCCTTTTCCAGGTTACTTTAGGCTCTTTAGGACAGAGAAGCAGGGTTTTCTCCTAAATGCAGGAGAGAACTGGAGATGCTGGAGAAAACTGAAGATGTACATGAGTGCAGTGAGTGCTCTGATCACCCTCACACGAGCAGAAGGCGTGACAACACGTCCCCAGGATTGCAGGTCAGGGAGGTCAAACAGGGAAGGACATTCCCATCTGAGAGGGGAGAAGCGACTGGACTGATTTACAGGTATCACTGATGCCTCTTTCCTGTATCTCTTGTGTTCTGGAGGGGTGCTGCCCTCTCCTAGCTGTGCCCTGTCCCTGCACTGCTGGCAGCACCCAGCAAGGCTGGAGGGTGCAGGTCCCAGGGATCTGCATCCTTGTCAGCTCCCATATCACCGGGGTAAAGGCTGCAGCTCACCTCCTTGGAGCAGAGCATCCTTCTCTCGGGACTGCTGGTTTGTGTCTAATGAAACACAAGTCACCACTTGCATAAGAAAACACCATTTTTGCCCTGTCAGAGCGAGCCTAGAGGTTTAATTTAAAGTACTTAAAAATGCTGCCTAAAAGATTTGTTTTCATGCTCTGTGCAGCATGGCTGGGGATTTACCTGGCTCCCCCAGCCCCCACAGACAGCTGGGTACACACAGGTGCCCAGGTGGGGCTGCTCCCTGCCAGCTTCCAGGCACAGCCAGGACCCCAGGAAGGTGCTGGAGGGGGATGCTGAGGCTGGGGGTGGAAAGGTGGTGATCATTTGGAAGGCAAAGGAGCAGGAGTGCCAGAGCCTTCCCCAGTTTCTGCAGCATTGCATCTGAGGCTGTCCCTTACGGCTGGGCTTGGGCATGGGGGTGGGACTTCAAAGCCTGTTTCTGAGTTTGGGGAAAAGGCAAAGTTTGAAGTTGGAAGTTCTCCTCTGCTCCTCTTTCTCCTCCCTTGCTCTCCTGTGAATTCAGGGCTCCCAGACCCATCCATGGGGGTGTGATTGGAGTACCTGGTTTGAGCAGAAATGTGAGCTAAAGAGGTGGTGAGAAGCCCCCAGTGCAGCAAAAGTCTGTGTGTCCTGGTGAGGCATTTGGTGAGAGTGGAGAGGGAGACGCCAGGCAAGACTGAGCCCCCAGAAGTGTCATGTAGCTCCCAACAGCTAAGTTCTACTTGTTCCTCACCTATGGAACTCATATCCAAAATGTCACTACTTCTTCTCACTTCCTATCACTTAAACCCATGTAGCATCCCTCCCTTGTGTGATGCCCATGTCCCTGTCCCTCTAAACTCATCCAGACCACCCTCCATTGCAATCCTGCTTGCTGCAACCTTCTTTTGCCAGTATCACTTCCCCAGGTTTTCCCTGCAGCCACAAGTATATGGAATTTTCACCCCGGAGCTGTCAAGCCATGAACATTCTGGTTCCCAGAGCCTGCCCTGATCCAGCCTCTCAGCTGGGTTGGGCACTGTGGGCTCACACTGAGGAGCCACACTGGCACCACCTTGCAGGGAAGAAGAGACCTCTGAGCCCCCATGAGTCCACATTTCTTGCTGACAGTGCTGTGCTCAGTACAGGCTTCCCCTTCACCCTCTGGTATCCACCCCGAAACTCCTTCTCCAGATGGAAAGCACTCAGTTTAGTTTGTGCATGGGCAGTGCACGAGCCAGTGGAGATCCAGGTGAGCACAAGGCAGGTGGTTCCTGCTGCTGCTGGGAATGACAGGCTGAGCACCAAGGAAAGGCACTCGCAGACATGACCTGGAGGGTTTGGAGCCCTCCCAAACACACATTGCCATCAGCTTCTGCCAGGACCTCAGCTAGTGTTCCTTCTTCAAGCAGGGCTGCACCTCCCACAGTGCTACACCTGGGTGTCACTGCCCAAATTAGTGCAGCTAATGAGTACTCCTCATTTCCCTTTGCTCTGTGGCAGCAGTGACCTCCCATCCAGACACAGCAGCAGAGATAGCACACACCCCTGCATGCTCCCTGCTCCCCCAGGGGATGGGAGCGTCTGGAATGACCCGTTTTCTCTGTCCTGCAGTGGGATTCAATCAATGAAATGGATGAGTTTTTCAGCCCCATCCACACCTACCAGGTGTGTAACGTCATGACCCCCAACCAGAACAACTGGCTCCGGACCAACTGGGTGCAGCGGGACGGGGCGCGGCGCGTGTATGCAGAGATCAAATTCACGCTGAGGGACTGTAACAGCATGCCAGGCGTGCTGGGCACCTGCAAGGAGACCTTCAACCTCTACTACATGGAGTCCGACCGGGACCTGGGCACCAGCACCCGCGAGAGCCAGTTCCTCAAGATCGACACCATCGCTGCAGATGAGAGCTTCACCAACGTGGACCTGGGCGTGCGGCGCCTGAAGCTCAACACGGAGGTGCGGGGCGTGGGGCCGCTGAGCAAGAGGGGCTTCTACCTGGCCTTCCAGGACATCGGCGCCTGCATCGCCATCGTCTCGGTGCGCGTGTACTACAAGAAGTGCCCGGCCACCGTGAGGAACTTGGCGTCCTTCTCCGAGGCCGTGACCGGGGCAGACTCGTCTTCCCTGGTGGAAGTGCGGGGAGAGTGCGTGGGCCATTCCGAGGAGAGGGACACCCCCAAGATGTACTGCAGTGCCGAGGGAGAGTGGCTGGTGCCCATCGGGAAGTGTGTGTGCAGCGCTGGCTATGAGGAGCAGCGGGATTCCTGCATGGGTGAGTGCCTGTGAGGGAAGGGCTGCCTGCAAGGGGCTCTTGCCTCTTTGGGGAAGGGCTGAAGACAGAAGCCTACTCACAGAAACTGGGACAGCCAGTCTCTGTGGAGGCCTAGGGCTGTCCATGCCTTTGCTGGATGGCTTCATGCTTCCAAAATATGTGGCTGGTATGACTGACAAGCTCCCTGGGAGTTCCTGTGGCTCTGACAGGTCCTGGTGCACAGGGCGGGGCTTTGGGATGGGGACTGGCTGGCAGCAAGACAGGGCCTGCTCTGGTTCCATCTTTCTGTGCCATGGATCACTGGCCCAGAGATCCCAGCTCAGTGCCCCCAGCAGCTCTGGCTGGTGCTGAGATCTCTGGTGTGCTCCAGCAAGGCACTACTTGGCCTCTCCAAAACACCCACTGCTGGAACGGGTTTAAAAGGGAGAAAAGCAAAAAGGAAAACACTGAGCTTTCATGGAGCAAGGTCATTGCCTCCATCTCTCACCTCCCAGGGCTGCTGCAGAGCCCCTCATGCAGGGTGTGGGGAGCCTTCCCAGGGGCCCTCAGTGCCACTGGGCAGCTTTGAGCTGCCAACTGAACAAACTGTGATAAGGAACTGGGGTGACCAGCAGCAGCACAGGGATGTGTGCTTACAGAGCACGGGCTCCCCGGGAGACCCCTCCACACAGATTTGTTTGCTCTCTGTTTCTTCATGGGATGTGTTGAGGGGGAGCAGCACAAATATGAGTGTGGGGCGTTTGTTTGAGTTTCGTGGTAACGTCAAGTTAGGGACGCTTGGCTCAAGGTCAGGACGTCCGACACCAGACTGGAATGGATCCAGGGGCTGCTGGGACCCACGCTGGCTCCTGCAGGTCTCCAGTTACAGAGTGGGAAGGATGGGCAGAATAAATGCTTTTATCTGAAACTCCTTCTGTCTGTGACAGTCGATTTGAAAGTTGTCCTGGGATAGATCTAATAACTCAGGAAAGGTCTTCCATCATGTTAAAGAGTGGGTGCAAGATGTATGTGGGGCCGTGTAGTGAGAGTCCTATGTATTGGATAGGTGGGTCCTAGCTATTCTAAATGAGTCACAGCTGTGAAGTCCTTAGTTGGGCAGCAGCTGTGGCTCATTTAGAATAGCTAGGACCCACTTATCCAATACATAGGATTCTCACTACAGGGCCAGGCGTGTGCTGCTGCAGGATGGGACACTGGCATGGGCCTCCTGGTTGGCTGTGCCGGCCCCACCACTGCAAGGAGCTGCAGGTTGGCTCAGACAGACAAACCAGCCCTTGCTACTGCTCCCCTGCAGCAGTGCTGTGCTGCTCACCCTGCCCCAGGACATCCCCCAAAGGCAGGAGGCTGAGCAAGGCTGTGGCGTTGGTGCTGGGCTCTGCCTGCCTCATTTTCATATGATTCCTGGGATAGGTTTGCTCTCTCCTGCAGAGCCCCTTCTCTGCCCTCCTGCCTGTTTCTGGTGGGGTTGCTCCCACCACAGGTGTGGCGCAGGAGGAAGTGTGGTCCAGCAGGTGACCCCAGGTGGCCCCACAGACGGACTCAGACCCAGCAATGCTCTCTGGTAAAACTCTCCAAGCCTTGTGGCATCAGAAACAGGACAGAAATGTCACTGGGCTTTCTCTGACACGGTGTTGTCTCACCCTCCTGCCTTCCCCGTAGCATTTTTCTGGCTCCAGCACAGTTTGATGACCCAACGTTGAGTGAACAGGGGCAGCACCTCCTTTCCTGCATCTCCTTTGGTGGGGCAGCAGGATGTGTATTTACACATGAAGGCAAACAGATGCAAATCTCTGATCTTGTGCCTGATTGGGGCAGAGTTCATTTTTCAGGCTGAAAAGTGGCTTTTGGGGATGATTTATAAGCCCAGCAGATCTGTTGGAGTTGGAAATTAGCCGTTTTAATTGTCAGGCAGATAAAAGCAGGATTCCAGTGGCCGTTGCCCCAGCGATTTTTCATTCTCAGTCACAGGGATGAGATGGTATAAATCACTCCTTGTGGCCCTAATAATCTTTCTATAAATATCAGGGAAATTCATTTTTTGCTTGGGGAGAGGAGGTGTGGAGGGGGAGAAATTAGAGAAGATACTTTGCCTCTATGGCAGTGTTTAAAATATGATTCCAAATTAATTTCCTTCTGCCTTTCACAGCCAGACGCCTTATTTGTCAAAGCTAAAGATATTTGAACAGTGGAGGTTTCTTCCCCTCCTCTTTAACATTCATTTTCCTAAGGGCCTGCCAGAGTGATGGAAGACAGCTCAGGAAACCAGACCATGGCCAGGGCTGTTCCCAGCCCTTCAGAGGAGAAGTGAGGCAGTGCCACAGGCCTGGGAGGGAAGGGGTGAGGTGGGACATGGTGAATGATGTATAGGAACATTGGGAACTTCTTTGCCTTTCACCCCCATTACAGAGTTGTAGAATCCCAGACTGGTTTGGGTTGAACGGGATCTTAAAGCTTATCCTGTTCCACCATCTGCCATGGGCAGGGACATCTTCCACTTGACCAGGTTGCTCCAAGCCCTGTCCAGCCTGGCCTTGCAGGGATGGGGCTTGGCTGTCATCTATCATGCTGGATCCTTCTGCCCTTTTTTGGGGCAGGGGGATGGTGGCTGGGGTCTCTGACTCCTGCACTCATCCCAGCAGGATCCGCATTTTGCCTTGCTTTGATGTTCTGCTGTTTGCAATAAGGATGTGAGGGGCAGTTTCCATGGGATTGAGGGGGCCAGATCTCAGCCCAGGGGCACTGGGATTGTCTGAAGATGCCAGCTGGCTTGGCATTGAATCACAGCCCCCACACACCAGACATTTGTCCCCAGATCTGTGCCTAATGCCTCTGCCAGATTCCTCTCCAGAGAGCCCCCTTCTCCAGCTGGGACTGGGCACGTGTGCTACAGCACCTTACTGGACAGAAATGGGATTTGAGCTGGAATTCCTACATCTGTTGATGACGTCCTGGGGTCTGCCAGCTCCCAACATTCCCAACATTTAGCCCCACAGTATCTTGTGCCACAGCCACCCCAAGGATAAAACTCCTCCTGGCACAGCACAGCCTGCTTGTTTTTCCCTCTGTTTTCAAGGTTCTGAAGGACTTTTCTCCCCTCGCCCCCTAACCCACAGCCTCAGACTGCTCTTTCCTCCTTGAAATGCAACGGTCCACACACAACACATTAACATCTCTTACACACAGCAAATAGCAACTGCTCTCCCTAAACAGCAGAATAAGCAAGAGCAGGAGGGAAAGGGATCTGTCCCAGCAATTTATCAGATAAGGAGACAATCAGCATAATTCGCCTTATTGATATGCAACTGCTGTGCAGGGCACATAGATACCCATTTCAATAAGGTCAGTGCAATTGGAGGGATGGGAAAGGGGAGCCTGGTTGTGCTTCTGTGGGCAGGGAAGGGCACATAATCCACCTAAAGGCTGAGAGCTGGGGCATTGGTACCCTGTCCTGTGTGTGGATGGATGGATGATGGATGGATGGATGGATGGATGGATGGATGGATGGATGGATGGAGAGGTGGACACGGAGGGTCAGGCAGGTGGGGCAGTGGATCTTCAGCCACAGCCCTCTACCAGCCTTGGTCAGCCCCTCTTGGGGAGGGCTGTCAGCCTCCTGAGCCACCGAGACCTTGGGTTTTGGTGGTGGTCCTTGGTGGATAGACCCTGGTCCTTGGACCATGTAAATCCATGGTCCTTGCATCAGGGTCCCCCTTTTGAGTCAAGTCCCAATTATTTCTTGGGCTGCATCTCTCGCCAGCTATCAGTGAGCAAAACTCCAAGTTGGGCTAAAATCTGTTGAGCTGCTCACAGGTCGTACATGCAGAGGGAGTTTGTTTGCAGCAGCAGCAGTGCCATGGCCACAGATCATGGTGCTGCTCTCTGGGAGCTGACACAAACCCATCCAGCATCCAGCCATGGGGGACCCCCAGGAGCACAGAATCTCCCAGGAAGAGTTTTTGTCAATAATCAAGTGGAACAGAGAGCAGGCTCTCTTTCCTGTTGTCAGAGTGGATGGATGAGCCTTTGGCAGAAATGCCACTCCCAAAGAGTTTCTTTGTTGAATATCCATGTTCAATATCCATCCAACAGCTTTCAGGAGTTGTTCAGACATTTCTCTCTGAAGTTTGGAAACATACATCTTATCCTCTGGGTGTTCTGGTTGCTCTGGCTGCTTTCCCTCCATTCTTGGGACCTTCAGTTTGGAAAATGGTGATGAGGGAGCAAGAACTGAGCAATTCCTAATTCCTGCTCCAGCAGCCCATTTGTACCTGAGGATGGGTGTTTGCAGCCTGAGTGAGAACAGCCACCAAACACAGGTCTGATGTGTGTGGCTGAACGAGGATCTGGCCCTGGGTTAGATTGTACCCAGCTCTGCTTCAGCAGGAAAATGGCCTTTTTCCTCTGGACAAGAGGAGGGACACTGCCACTACTGGGACCCTTCCCCTCCAGCCCCCAAAATGAAGGAGAGGTGGGAACAGACGAAGGACTGCTGAGCTCTCTCGTGCCTCCTGTGGTACACAGCTGGTGGAAATGGATCTGGAGAGTCTGGTTAGCAATCTGGAAGCCAGTTAATTTTTTCCAGTTGGTGGGATTCATGCTGATGAACCAATCAGCAGATTTAATGTACCTTAAAACTTCCTTGTGGGCAACTTTAATCGAGCAATTAAAGCACCACGGCATTGCTAATTAAGAGGAGAAAATACCCAGCTTGGTAATTATGTGCTTGTGAATACAGTTTTGTATCCATGGACATTTATGAAGGAAGTCCCACAGCTGGTGGGGCGAGGGGGGTGCAGAGCTGTGTGAAAGGAGGGGAAACCCTTTCCCATGTGCTGTGCTGGGGGCAAAGCCTGGAACAGGGGCAGGGACAGCCCTGGAAACACCTGGGGAGAAACGTGCCAGGAGAAGGCACTGGATGGGGATTGGAGCAGCCTGGTCTACTGGAAGGTGTCCCAGCCATACGTGGAATGAGATGGGCTTGAGGTCCCTTCCAGTCCAAA